TGAAAATTGTTGGAGTAATCTGTACACATTTAAAATGAAAAAAATAAATGCAGATTTGGATGGTTTTGTAAACTGGGACATTAGCGGCAGAAGTTTTCTGTCAGAGGACGTCTCAGGTCAGGTGTCAAAATACATATGTAGTGCTCTTGAGGTGGGTTGGAAAAGCTCACAACACAATGCATGTTAGCTGGAGACACCTGCATCAACTCTGACTGTAATGAGAGAAACTTTGTTGCACGTGTTTTAATATAACACACAAGCAGCAGGACTGCAAGCCTCTGCAACCGCATGAAGAAACAGAACCAACTTGAAGGTTGAGATATTCTGGAGATTTCATTTATGGCGTTGGCAGCTACTTAGAACCCAGTGATGCTACTTGAATTTCCAGACTTCATCAATTGAAAAAAGCAGGATCCTCAAACCTGAAAGTGCAGTTAACCACACATCAGTGTTTCATTTTACCAAACAAAGGATGGATGGTCTGATATTAGCCTAATAAAGAAATTATGTTTAGCTGTGTGAAATGTAGCTGGTTTTGTTTTTATTTCATTTTATATGTTTTTATAAGATTGTCTATTGTTGTCTGTACCTCATCCTTGTTCTTTGTTTAAAAAAAGGTCTCTCTTGTAAATGAGTCCTCGCGACTCAATGAGACTAACTTGTATAAATAAAGGTTGAATGAAAATCACATAAAGCCAAGCAAGACATTAGGCAGCCTGTCCTAAAACATAACCTGCTTCTCCATTATTTTGTTGGGAATGGGGCATCATTTACAAAATTAACAGATTTATCTGTATTATGGTGTTTAACTTTTTTTATTTCTATTTATTTAGAAAACGTTCACAGGTTTAATGAGTAATTTTGATTTTTAATCCTCCATGTCGTGCTTTTGGAAATCAACTGTTCTAAAAGATTCTTCATGAATTACAAAGAGAAGAAACGATTAGGCTTCCTAACCGTTCCTTCATGTTCTGAAAAGAAGCATGTCCCTATTCATTAATAATGGTACGATTATCTTGCTGGCACATAAAAGTCTTTGGGAAATTGAATTTATTCCCTTATTTACATGTACTTCAGCAAAGCATCTGAAACATCAGGAAACACTGGAATCAGCCCGTCACGTTTAAAGTAAATTCTAATCAAGAATCACAATAGATATTTTGTATGGCCAGACATGAAAATGGTCCATTTTACTATTTACTTCTTAAATTGTTGAATATCTTGTTTGAATTTGGAGAATAGAAAACGTATGAAAGTAAGAGGATTAGCCTTCCCTCTGCCATGTAGACTGAACATTACAGGCACATCCCAAACAATTATGACAAAGTTAAATTTTTGGTCAATCATTTTAAAAGTGAAACTCCTATATTATATAGATTCATTATACACAGAGTGACATATTTCAAGCCTTTACTTCTTGTAATTTTGATGATTAGGACGTACAGATAATGAAAAACCTGAATGCTTCTCAGAAAATTAGAATATTGTGAAGAGGTTCAATATTGTCCTGGTGTCACAGCCTAATCAGCTGATTAACTCCAAGACATGAGCTACAAATGTCTCATCCCTAAAGTCAAACCACTCCTGAACCAGAGTCAACATCAGAAGCATGTTACCTGAGCTGAGGAGACAAAGAACTGGACTGTTGCTCAGTGGTCCAATGTCCTCTTTTCAGATTAAATATTTATAAATCAAGGTCCCAGAATCTGGAGGAGTAGTGGAGAGGCTCAGAATCCACGTTGCTTGAAGTCCAGATTGGTTACCAGTCAGTGATAGTTTGGGACCATGTTGTCTGCTGGCGTTGGCCCACTGTGTTTTCTGAAGTCCACAGTCCACGCAGCATCTACCAGGACATTTTAGAGCACTTCATGCTTCCTTCTGCTGACGAGATGGAGATGTCAGTTGTATTTTCCAGCAGGACTCGGCTCCTGCCCACACTGCCAAAGATACCAAAAGCTGGCTGTGGAATATTCTAATTTTCTGAGACACTGAATTTTGTTTTCTTCATTTAATCGTTGGATAAAAATATCCTCTATTTATTATACTTACTCAAAGAAGCCACACGATGACAGGAGAAGATTTTTAACTAGTCTTTCTTGCAAGGGAAGATTTCAACAACAGGTTACACAGATGTGCAGACGTTACATGCATGGAGCCCAGTGATGAGATTCTGCCTTGGGCAGCGTGCGAGGCTTGTTTTTATATGCTTATCAGCTCACAGGCAGACTGGTGTCCTTGGACTGCCAGCTGTGTCTGCAGTATCAAATCAGCTCCTCATCCAACTCTCTGTTAACTCAAACACATGGTTCATGGGCAGTTAACATTCTCAGCCATAGCAGTTAAAAACATCCATAAACCTTGACCTATATTCCCTGACAACGATCATCAAATTTACAAGAAGTAAAGGCTTGTCAAATCTCTGTGAAATTAACCTATGTAATATATTAGTTTCACTTTCTGAAATGCTTGACCAAAAAAACTGAACTTTTTCACGATATTCTAATGTTTGAGATGCACCTGTTATTTCTCAGAGAACCAACAATAGCTGCTCGCGTGAAAAAGCCACATTTTTTCCGCTGTAAGTATTTAATGAGCGCCCTAGTTCTTCCTGTGCTCAGTGCACTGTTTGTTTGCAGATTGGCTTCTGCATCAGTTTGAAAAATTCTCCACTCCCTTGAGAAAACTCCGTGTTCTTCCTTTGTTTAACCAGATTTAGCTGGGTGTAGATAAAGCTTAAGAAGTTGTGATGCTCGTATCTGACAAAAGACAAAGATTACAATGCAGCCCTTAGAATGGAACACATTTTTTCCAGCCAGTCACATATAGGGACCTTAGAGTCCTTTTCACAAGAAGTAAGAAACTCATACTTGCTTATCACTGGAATTGATTTTAGTGGCTCTAACAATGAAAAAAAAGTCCATCAGTGATTGATCTTCTTTAAAACTGTACCTATGTTCAATTAGTTTTGCAAGTTAAAAATAAAAACAGACTAATCTGGAAAATCCAAGCACATCTGCAAATCTAACATATCAGATAAGATGCAGAGTGTTAGACTCTCCTTAGAAGTTGCCACAGGGTAAGTAAATTGAGTTGTCTCCCTTTATGACTACATAACTACAATACTCTCTCTATACCAGCCCAAGCATTCAGATCACTTGTTATTATTATCTGCACATCAGCATCACCCAGTGAGTCAAGTGTTGCTAGAATGTCATTTTTAAGGGAAAGTATTCCATTCTTGTTATCTCGAACAGAATACACCGTTGTTCCTTCAGGGAATGTGAAGCATAGCAATGGATGTCTTCATTAGTATACAAAAATAAACAATACACTCTGACACGCCTCAACATGCACAGTAGAGTTTTATATAAAAACACAGGCCACCACCATTTCTATCATATCTGCCCACATGATCATGTACTATAGATGAACATGTATAACCTGCAAGCAAATTAGAAAATTCGGTAATGCTACTGGCCCATGTTTGTGTGTGACATATAATTCACTGACATGTTCATAAGCATTGTTGATGAAGCAGTTGGAAGCTGGAAACAAAATTATTGTGAGAACAAAACTTTAAAATACATGTACTCAGCCAACATCGTGGTACAAGAACTGTCACAATTTGAAATTAAATGTGAATTTTTCACTGAATATATATTGAAAAAGCAACCACCCAGTTGATAAGGGTAGATACTTTCATTTGAAAGATGATTTCAAAAAGATGTGCTGCCTAAAGAAACAAATATCTTTGGACGGATGGATATGTAGATACTTTACTGATCCCGAAGGAAATAATATGGCGATGTAGATGAACAGATGCTGGGATATATTCATCATTTAACGCGGGTTCCTCATTTTTCTGGACTGAATAAAACGTGCATTGAATTTAAGGAAATGCAAAGTGAGACGTCATTTAAATTTGACCCATCAAAATGAATGCGGTCATTTATTTACAGAATCAAATTTAACATCAAACATTTACATTAATTTGGCAAATTATGAAAATAACAACAAGCAATCAATCAGGAAAAATCATACGGCCATGATTTTTCCGTTGCTGCACCACAGACATTTATAAAACTGTACAACTATGATCTTTTATCCACACGGATGTGAATAAGCACTTTACACAGACATTTCTAAATATCTGGGAGAATTTCTACTTCATAGGAAAGTTTAAAGATGGAAAGAAGTTTAGAGGGAGTAAAGGATGGGGTTTGAGGGAAATTGAATGTTCACCAGAACCGACACTCTCCATCAGAAGCCCAGCTCGCCTCGGTACGCTTGGTAGGAAACTTGACCCATTACCTTTCTGATGATAATCAGCAGATATGGTGT